CGGAAACGGGAGACCAATTTTTTCGCACTCTCGGGGTCATGGAACGTCACCTGATGGACCCTACTAAAATGCTTCCTTCGCTTACTTACGCACGGGAAGTAAAAATCCTATATTTATCAATTATAATAACCAGTTTGCCATAACGGGTGTCTGGAAAATGTCGGATTAACTCTTCGGTGCGTTATATACGAGGGTTTCAGGAGTCCTAAAACAATAATAAAAAAATTCTTTGTGATGTAGAATACGAAAAAAACATAATTTTATAAAAGTAAAATTGGAAACATGGCACGCACCTAATGCGTGAATACCTACGGCTTACTCTAATGTTTCCAAATTTTGATCCAAAACTAATGCCAAAAGGTCAGTGGCATTGTTACTACGAACATTTTAAATAGGGGCTACTATTGAATTATTGGTAACTTATTTACATAATATAATAAACAAAATATCAAAGATAATTATTTTTTATCTCGAAATTTGTCAGTTAAATAGTTTTAATATAAACTCAAGAAATTTTGGACAGCGAAACTGTTACTCTTTATTTTTTTCAAATTTTTGATTTGCATTTTCAACCAAATCCCTCATTATATGGGTTTTGCTGGACTATTTTTTTTTTTTAATATAACTCAAAAACCAACTAAAGGTGTTGTTTTGTCGGTTTCGTAACTTGAATTATTTGAAATGTCCAAATATTGAGAAACTGATAAAAGTTTTAAATCATATTTAAATTGAATGGCCGTAGAGACCGGATGTCTTGACCGAATTTGGGAAAATACATTTTCTAAACAATCTTGAGAAAATCTCGATGTTAATAAATATGGGTATTTTTTTTCGTTCAAAATCAAGTTTTGCAGGTCTAAAATTGATGTTCTACTCATTATAACACCTGTTTGAATAGGCTTCCAAACTGATTTTCCAAATTTGTCAGGAGCGACTTTTAAGTTTAAAAATAACTTAATGAATTCTTGAAGGAATTCTATAGTTTCCCTATAGACAGCCATATCAAACTTGCTCAAGGCCAAAATAGTTGATCCAGAACTAATCAACTGGAACCACCTATGTACAACATCAACAAAACCAGCTGTCGTTAGAGAAGATTTGCTTTCTCTCTCCTCTTCCGCATCAAATTTTATTCCACAACTAACATTTCGATTCAAAACATTTAGAGAATTTGACACCCTCATTTTATTAAAATGGTTAGATTGTAAAAGATCCACATTTAATTTAGACGCAAATTGCAGCTCAAATTTGCCTTCTTCTTAGTAGTTTATATTTTTCAACAAAATCATTTGGTAATTGAATGATTTTGTTTTGTACCAAACATTGCTTTATATTTTTTAATAAATGAAATAAAAGTAAATTTTTTCGCCATTAACTGGGTTTAGGACATAATTTTTTGTTTCCCATTTTCTTCCAGCTTTTATTCCAAATGTTTTCCACATAGTTTGATTCGCCGATCCCATCTGAGGTTACAGAATGAACCTTCAAACCAATTGCACTGATTTTCTTAAAAACTTCTTTAAGACCATCAGCTAGAGTCATACGGTCTCCAGTAAAATAGAATGAAACAATTTGTTTCCAGCGAGTAGTAATACCTCCCCCAAGAATTAGTTACAAACGCTTTTGTTGCTACCCCCTCATGCATTGGTAAAGTAATTCCCCCAATGTACGTCCCACTATGTACACAATAATCAATCCCAGCTTTTATATCCATTTCGTCCAATGACACCATAGAATCCCTCCCAAAATTCTGATTAAGCGATTCACATTTAATTTTCAAAAGCCCTATAATTTCATCCATATATAAAACTGAATCACGCTTTCTGCCTTACTCTTCTCATAATTATTATCTAAGTACACTAAATTCATCCAAAATAAAACACCAGCGGACCTAAAATTAACCGCGAACATTTTAAACGTAGGGTTTTGAAATCTTCCGATCTTATGAACACCCATCACATTGCAAGTGCCTTTTCCGTTGATATACTTAAAAATAGCATATTATTAGCCAAGGTTGCAGAGCCAAGCATTCTAGACCGAGCGCAAATTAGAACCCGAGACGCGCAGCGTCGAGGGCTCTAAGTGCGAGGTCTAGAAGTGGCTTTGCAACCGTGCTTAATATACTATTTTTTTCACTAGTAGAAACCATAAGACAATAAACTGAAAAATAAACGTTCAATTTTTTGACGCAACATGATTTTATTTTGATTTCTAATCAAACTTGATCTAAATCTTCAACACAAAGAAAACCGTTTATACTTGTCGCTGAATTAATCATTTTATCTTCTACCGTCTACCAACTACCATGCGTATACTCAAGTAATGTTTGTAGCACACATTTGTTCATTTTTTAAGAAAGAATTACATCAAACATTGCGTACATAACCTCAATTTTTCTTTTTGAACCCGTGGTAGCAAAAGTTGAATTTGCTACCACTAAATGAGTCGACATTTGCATGCGTCCAGGCTGCTAGTGAAAAAAAACAATTTTCAGACACATTAGCTGGACGTACGCATTCGTAATTTTGATAAAGTTGAAACCAGTTATGGTAAATTGTCTTTTCTTAGATGCTTTTCATCAGAAATTATTATCTTATAATTTCATTTTTACTAGTTCGTCACATCTGGAAGCTCCAGAAAATCCAACTAATAATATAATCTGAAAAAATACAAAGACAAATCAAACTATTTTTTTGGCTTGTAAGTATGGTAAGTCAAGACAATACTTAATAATTTCAGACTAATTTTTAATGAAGCAACGAGACAGAAGTAATGGTTTGAAAATAAGATAAAATTATTGTATTTCATTCGGAGTTTAAGTGATTTTACGTGACTCGTATTGACTTAATTGTCCAGACTCCATCACATTTTTTAATTTTAATTTTTTCACAACTTAAAATGGATTCATACAACATTAATATTATCCTTAATTAAAAAAAAAATCAAGAACTAATAAGTAATTTGTTAAAATTTTCAACAACGCGAAGTTCGTTCTCTTTGAGTGTTTAAATTTATTATTCCACATGTTTTGCAATGTTGAAGTCCTCTGTTGTAATACATTTGATCGTAGGCATCAGCTGTTCTAGGAATATAGATTACATAAAGCTGAATACTGCTGTCAAATTCAAAATGATAAATTTTATAATAAACTGCACCTACGCAATGCTTTTTTTGAAATTGATTAAAAAAACATTTTCGACTACATTACTTCTCGTGTATAATTTTCACTGCCTCACTCTAAATTTGGTCACTTAACTTACTGCAAAAATTAATACATTTCATAAATATGCAACTGCCTCTTTTTTCACGCTTTGGAATTCAAAAGAAAAGAATTAAAAATTCGAACATACTATCGAATGACGACTACTTATTTTCCAGAGCTGTTTGTTCATCAAACTAAGACATTTTTTTGAAATTTGTCTTTTTACCTTTTGAGCTAACTGCATATTTTCTGAACAATTTGTAGCTCGTGGAATAATTTTAAAACGCTAATAAATTTTAATTTCATAAATTTTTAAATGTATCACCATTATCGTTATCATTGTTTCTGTCATAATTAATACATACTTCTCGACTAAAAAATTTACGAAATCATTTGAAATAATTTTTAATAAATCTTCAAAAATTCAAAATAGTACGAAATATACATACATAGGTAGGTATAGAAACACATATGTATTTGATATAATTATGTAAATATCGTCAACATAAGACGTCAGTACAATTATAAATAACAAACTAAAATAACAGTCCTGAACGATCAAAATAAGGTGTAGATAATTTCGTCGACAAAAGACATACCTAATTAAAAAGTGTGTATTTATCATTTCGAGGACTTAAAAAAATAATGGCAAATGAAACGAGCTACAAAACTGTTAAAGTGTAAACTTTATAACAGATACTAAGTATTTAACCAACATATTAAGTAGACAAATAAAATATTAAAAGAAAATGCAAACAGTGATTCATTCTCGTCATTTGCATCGTGATCTTTGCATTACAAACAATACTAAAAATACGTACGCAGTCTTGTCCGCATTTTTACGAGACTTCTGAAGCTGAGGTCATAGGAAGGAAGTGGTCGTGTTGTCTAAACGCGCAATTTATCGTTTTGGCAAAAATTACGCTTTACCGTTAACGTCATCGAAGTAGTAAGGAAGTAGTATGTGTAGTATTTTGTGCAACAATAAAATATCAATTGCATGTAACAATAATTAAAACATATATATCGCTTGAGTATAGTTACCAAATTCTAGTGATAATTTCTGTCAGTATTTAATCTAGACTGTTCAGGGAAAAATAGTCGTTCTGTTACTTGGAATGTGATAACGTGTGGAAGGATGCGGTAATTCTAAAAGGCTAAATTTGCTATAGGTGGTTTCACTGAAGTCTTCGTCGTGCAAAACCGGGATGAATCAGAGTCTTAAATAAACAGTCGATTTCCCGAAAAAGGTTGTGTTTTGAATCGAATTCTTGTTAAATTATTCTTATCTTATTTAATACTGAAAACTGATAAGGTTAAAATCTAGAGCGACTATTACGTTTGTCCTTGAGATTGACTTATATCTCGAAAAAATGGCATTAAGCATACAATCCAAATATTGATGCTCAAACTGTGGTGAAAGTCATTTTCGCATGGAAAATTCCTCTGAGGGTTATTAATTAGAATTAAATTAAAGAAAGTGTCTTTTTCCCCACCCTTCATCCATTCAATTAAACCCCCATAAATGCATATTACGGACTTGACACCATTTACTAATCATACTGTTGTATCGATCGTTCTTTGTTTGTCGTAAAACTCAATTTGTGACAACTACGAGCTAATCTAATTTCTAACAGTAGAACAAAACAAGCACTATCAAAAGGAAATAGAAGCCTACTCGAATCTGATACAAAATCTAACACATCCTCTTATTGATACAATGAACTTTCCAAGCCACAAGTAGTGGACAGACAATTATCAGAATTGGTAGCACTAATTAACTTTTATCTATTTCCAGTTCTGGCGTTGGGACATGGCAAGCCTGAAATTCTTTCTGAGTACGAGGAGACCATTCTTGAAAGTGGAGACAACTTCACGGTGCTATGTCAGGGACAAACCCCCTTGAGATGGAGGTGGCCTATGGTTGAGGTAATTTCACCCAAAAAAAAAAAAAAAAATGTTGTCAATCTATTCATTCAAGGATGAGGAATACCAAAAGTGGACTACAATAAGCGAAATCGAAGTCTTGCCAAAGAAAGCCAACTACAAGTACGCTCGAAAACTTTTCATTCAGAATATTACCTATCCATATACTGGGTTTTATCAATGTCTAGACAAAAATGTTGAGTCTTTTGACGATAATGATGGAAGCAGTATCTATCTATATGTTAGAGGTCTGTACACGTTTGAAATTAAACTCAATTTCAATTTTTGTTTTTATAGATCAAGAACACTTGTCGGTTAGCGATGCAGAAGTGGAGACTGTTACAGTTACTCAGTATGACGAAGCTGTAATTCCTTGTAGACCAACTTCACCTGATGTGGATGTAAAACTTACTCTCATCGGTGGAGAAGCGGTTAGTTTCAATTTTGGATTTTTACATCTGTTGTACATATATGTACATAGTATGCGTACAAAACATATAAGTTTCGTACAATCAAATGTCATATACTTTCTTTTGCCATTACTTCAAGACTACTTTTCTTTTGTGGTATATTAACCACAATGATTCCATCAGTCGTACCTTAGTAGTCATTAACGTTCTAATAATGCATTCTGATTTAATAGGACAGAATGAGTCATCACCACTCTGAATGTATACATATACCTACATGTATTGCGAATTTGTTTCTGACGTCTTATATTAAATTCAACTCCAAAATATTACTTCTTCGATGCACTAACGGTATTATTAGTATCTGAACTTTTTCTCTTCACTTTTTATCATCAGTACATTGTACTTTATGTTATGCATTGTTATTGGAATTATGCATACAACCGCAGGTGATGAGTAAAACATGATCTTAGTATAACATTTACTCAAATAAACATAAATTTAAATAAAGCTGTCATCTGTTTAATGAACAAAATATGCTAGTTAATGTTTATTTTCAACCGCTTTGAATGTGAGGTTTTTGATGAAAAGTTTTTATATTTTAAATTTGGATTTTCTGCTTCAGTTGCTAATTTGTGCTGATAATAGTGCGATATACAGGAAGGGTGGAGACCTGATGTATAATAACAATATCATTACACTCCTATCTGGACTTTGTCTTCTTTGCAACATACGATGATATTTGCCACCATAAATAAAGAAATAAATGCACTACATATCCTTTCTTGTACAATAATAGCAAGATAATATAATTTTTTCTATAAGTACGTGCTATCACAAGACATTAAGTACCTTTCGATTTAATGTTTGTTTGCCTTTATATGCATAAATATATTTAAATCTCATATGCAAATATTCCAAAAATTTATAAATTATTGAAAAAAAAACTCCTCCTACTTCAGCACAATTATATAATAGCATTGAATCAATGCTAAAAGAAAAAATAAAGCATCCCCTATTCATAGATACAACTACCGAGACGCACAGTCAACGACAGCTATGGACTTTTGAAAAATTTGTCTTTGTTATATTTTTAGAAACTTTCAAATTGACTGTAATTTAAGAAGATGAAAATACTGTCAAAAACAGATTTTCGAAAATCCATGGCTGCCTTTGATGGTGTTAACAAATTTAGAAAACCGAATGCAATAGAATTAAAATAGTACAAAAATTTTGGTGTACATATGTTGATTTAATTTTAGGGAGTCAATTTCTGGTATTTGTAATAAGCTAATAAATAGTTAGTTATATAGACAAATACTGCGAAAAAGATAAAAGTGAGCTTAGAAAACAGCGAAGATTAGATATGAGTAAGAAACAAAAATACACTTTAAGGCTGAAGAGCAAGAATCGAAAATCGAAATTTGTTTATGTAGTAGTTTTGTAGTTTTTTTTTGTAATAACAATAACTGAATTGGTCATAACAATTTCTAAAGTTAAACACTAAATTACAATAGTGTTTCTAATATCTTGAGTTCTTTTGTTCCCATTCAATGCTCCAATTGTAATTGTAATAATATCCAAGACAGTGGCGAAATAGTTATTTATGCAACTAGTGAGTAAAGTGTATTGACTATTATTACAGATACTATGTTAATCAATTTGGCGACTAACAAAAGCGTTTATATTTGTTGATGATACCCAAAAAATCATAATTTCAATAGGTAGGCCAATCGACATGGGAGGGGGTTCGTATAAATGCTTATGTATTAAATCAACTGGTTTTAGTAAACCTTCCAAAAAATCGGGATTAACTGTCTAACGTGGCCAGAGAACTTAACTGCACATTAAAAATTTCAAAATCATAAAATTACCACCAAATCTAAGCATTTTGTTTTGTTGTTTTAACAGTCGAAGAGAGTGGGACAAACACGGTTGTTAATATTCTAAGTAAGTCGAAGTATTGAGTATGAGATTTTTTTACCTAGTGTCTGCTTAACTATCTCTTCCCCATTAATCAAACCGAAGTTTTCCCAAATTACTTAAAATCATTAATTTTGTTCGTAAAATGTTTACTGTTTAAAATAGTATAACACGTTATTTAACCTCACCCAAATTTTCTTCAAAATACTTATTGGGGGGATTTTTTTTATATTTACGAGTATATTTTACATATATGGACGAAATATTGCCTTTCACCTTCAAAAACGAGGAACAGGAATGGTAATTATAAGTAAACAAAATAGTTAGTCAAAGACTTGTCCCAAAAAGTGTATTCGTAATACTCTGTTAGTACTTTCTAGACAATACCACGCGAGGGTTACTTTTAGAAAAAGTAACATGGCTTTATATTTTGTTTTAAAATTTTTTAAAATTGATATTGAGAAATCCGTCACAGCATTATTAATAAAGATTTGTCCCTTCCTTATTTCACTAAATAATTTATTACAATCTAAAATTAATACACAGGTCAGACCCGACGAGTAGTCATCAATTGTTAAAACCAGGAAGCAAAATTCTTCAAATTTCAAACCCAGCTAGCTGTACGTTCTTTTGTAATCAATAACCAAAAAAGTAAACCAAATAACTAAAAGTTAAAACTAATCCCACCCACTTCCACGTTTGAATTTCATTGGCATATTTTATTTCCCCTGGGATGAAAATTGAATTCCATTTTGGCAGGTGGTCAAATCAAATTAAAAAAAACTTCAAAGTGGCCCCGCACACCCTCCCCGTTTTCTTTTTAATTACTCATTTAATTGGACGAAAAGCCGATTTTATGGTGATAAACAGTGGAATTTAGACCAAATAAAAAGGTAAAACTAACCCCACCCCTCTCCACATTTGAATTTCATTGGCTTATTTTATTTAGCGTGAGATGAAAATTGAATTCCATTTTGGCAAGTGATCAATTTAATTAAAAATTTCTCAAAGTGGCCCCGCCCACCCGCCTCGTTTTCTTTTTAATCGCTCCTTCTATTGGATGAAAAGTGGATTTTATATTGATAAAAAGTGCATCTATAGATCCCTCTCATCTAATCATTCGTATTTTAAGAAGTACTAGCACTACCCACCGGCCCTTTATTTTCTTAAAAGGCATATCATTTGCCAAAATCAGTATTATCTTACCAAGTACTAGCCCTATTTTCATGGAGGGTATGTCATTTTCCAAAATCACTCGTATCTTAGGAAGTACTAGCCCCGCCCACCCGCCCTCTATTTTCTGAAAGGGTATATCATTTGCCAAAATCGGTCTTATCTTAACAACTACTAGCTCCGCCCACCCGCCCTCTATTTTTTAAAAGGTCTATCATTTGCCAAAATCAGTCTTATCTTACCAAATACTATGAGATACAGTTATTATCGTTATTTAAAGGCATGCACTGATTTGAATAAAGCCCGAAACGAACTCCATTAGGTTAAATAAAAAAAGAATCACAAAAAAATACGACGTGTTATTGGTGTGTTGCTCTCACAGTACTTTCACTCTAGCATTTATGATATTTTTTTCTCATTTGCCTAGACTGCGTATAATTCGGTTTGAGATTTATGTTCCTTTCGCGTTCAGATCAATTTTTTGAGGAGAATAGTTCAGATATTTATTCAATTTATTTACAATCTACAAAAGGTTCCTAGGGTTTTGTCATTCCATATTCTATCAATTTTAAAAAGCTTCCTTCTTAAAACTAGAAACAATGGGGTTTACAGAATTTCAAAATCTTTTTTCCGTTCTCAGGATAATAAACCACGAAGTTTTACGTGGGACCCTTGTACTCATATATATACATGAAATGTTATTACTTTAGCTTAAAATTTTACCGTCAGTATTTCTATTATTGCTCTTACTCTCACTCCCTATTTTTACAACGTACATTAAACACATATACTAAAAGAGGCTAATTTTTACTAAACCGGTTTGGTCACTATCATAAATTACGAAAGATCAACTATTACCGACAACACTGGCCATAATCAAAGTATTCTAGAACCACAAGCCTTCGCAGAAATTTTTCGCCCACAAACCATTGAGGTTTCTAACGACAAAAGCGATGAACTAACCACTGAAATATTAGCTAATTCATTTCTTTTTTTTACGATTTCTTAACATTTTCGGAAAATTTATAAAATTTACATAAGATATAAATATTTTGATTTTGATAAATACAGTAGGTACTATTTAACAGGAGTCAGTACCCTTCTACAGATGTTATCGAGTTAGTGTGGTATTTTTCAAAACAAAATTTAAAGTACAGAAAACTGGAAACACAATAATAACATTTTTATGTGTATGCTAAGATAACTTTGACATTAAAAAAATGGGAGAAAATTCTGCAACCCTAGAGAGCTCTTAAAAGGATACATATTGAGTCGGAACTAATTTGATATACCAGAAAAATATTTCCCATAATTTTGACCACACATCCCCCCAATAGCCTTGTTACATAGCTACGATTAACTCAAACTCTCCATGCTTGTCTACAAAACAATTTTCTTTAACCACTTCCGGCTTGTAAATAATTTTCATTAACAACCGGAAGCTCTTTAGATTGCCTGGATACTAACACTCATGTAGTTCTACAACTTATCTAATAGCAACCTAAGTTACTTTTGGGCATTATCGACGAAGAAGGAATTATGTACCGCTACCACCCCCACTATGGCGTCATAACTAACAACACCAAAGACATCGGAGGGATCATTTTCCTTTGCGTCTTCTCTCGAGATTCCATACATTTTAAACGAACAGTGATTTTGGACGTGGAACGTACGTACCGTACCATAACCAAAACCCTCGCGAAAATCGTTCCATGTTTCACAAAAATGGTTTCGCCAGGGTTGTAACACTATTTTCTCTTCACCTTCCAGATAGATAACGCCACATATAACCCGAAAACTGGATTTAGATTTCACGTTGGTTATCTGAGTGATCAGGGTCTATACTGTTGCAATTTTTTATTCGGCAGTTCAGAATACGAGCAATGTATTTATCTTAATGTCATTCGTAAGTAGAAGTTGGTGTTGTATTTCGTGGTTGTGGGGCTTCTGTCTAGTCCAGTTTTGGTGTTGGTTTGGTGTTTGCTTTGCTTTTGCTTTTTTAAATGGCTTAATTTCATGTGCACGGATGATTGTAGAAATCAATCACTTTTTGCCCAAACCATCGATGAAAGAACTCAGTGGTGGTCATACGATAGTGGGCGATAAACTGATTTTGGAATGTAGGATAAGGTCGTCGACTTATGTCAATATCGTCTGGACGACGCCTACTGGACCACCTGATGTAAGTCCTATATATTTTCGGTTTTGCTTTATTTGAAATGGTGTTTAACGATGCAGTCCAACCGTATGTCGTTATCAACTCAACAGAAGATTCCTGGACAAACAATTCTTACTCAGAATCTTACCATCAATGAAACTATTTTGAAAGATAAAGGTATGTTCTACTGCAACGTTAGCGACAACCAAAACCACGCCAGTTTGGGAAGCTTGAATGTTACGGTTTATGGTAAGTGAGCAGAATTTTCAAGCTTGCCGAATTATAAAAACTTTGTTTTTAGCTCCCACAGAACATTTTATCAATTTAACGGAAGATAACAATGTCTACACTATTTCGGCAATGGCAGGTGATGATGCCGTGGTGTGGCGTATCAACGTCGACGGCCACCCAGAGCCCAAACTTTTCTGGTTAAATAACAGGAACGAAACTATTATACCGATGACGTCAGACAAATACGATGTAACCTTTTCTGCGACAGATGCTGTTATAAAAATCAAAGATATATCCATAACAGATTATGGTAACTACACTCTGTTAGCGGAAAATGGTTATGAAAATGATACTATATCTCTGTTTCTCAACGTGACGGATAAACCTCTTGTGCATTTAGAAGGTAGTACCTATCACATGGTGAATGAAAAAGACACGATTAAGTGTATAGTGGCCGCTTATCCTCCCGCAACGATTTACTGGTCGTTTAAACCTTGTTCAGATAACTCCTGTACATTTCATATGGTAAGTAAGCACACCCGTTTGTATAGCAGTCAAAATTATTTTCTAGATGAATGAAACCCGCTCGTTTAAAAAAGGACTACAGGTCATCTCCTCTCTAGAAATCAAATCTTTAAATACAGGTTACGTTAAGTGCTTGGCTGTGAATTCAATTGGTGAAGATAGTGCTGTAAACGCGTATTATGTGACTGGTTGGTCTACGCATAATTATAAAAGGAAAATCTACTGTTAATTTTTAGATGTCAAAAATGGTTTTGATATATTTGGTTTTGATCCTACCGTTAACGTGGACCTACAAAAAAACACGATAGAAGTAGCAGTTGGAGAGTCAATGAATGTGATATGTGGAGTTTCGGTGCACAATTACACGTCAGACTTAAAGTGGATACGCAACAACCAGCTAATGAAATATGGCGATAGTACGTGTTCAAACCCTTATAACGTCTTCTAATTTATTTCTCGTAGGGTACAGAATTGATAAAAGTCGTACCGAATACACAAATCGCGCTGTACTGAATTTGGAAAAAGTTCAGTCTGCTGATACCGGTACTTACAGTTGTCAAGTTAAACGAAAAGATGGGAAGTCGCTTTTCAAGAACATGACTTTAATAGTTTCAGGTAAATTTTTCCCCGCCTTCTAACCTAATTCCCAATTTTTTAAATCGTAGAGCTATCTAAACCCGTGATTGTAAGTACCAACCTAAAGAAAGATATGGAGTTGAGACTACCTAACAGTGTCGAATTCTACTGCAAAGTGAAAGGTGTGCCAAAACCCGTAATTCTTTGGTACAGAGTGAGTAAATTTTTCCTATTATTTTCATTCTTTAAAAGAACCCACGGCATGCTGAAATGTTGTTCCAGAACAACGAAAAGTTGCACCCTTCTAACAGAACGCACTTTAAAAATGACGGCCAATACATGAACATTGTTTCCCTCGACTTCAAAGATGAAGGTGCTTACAAGTGTGAGGTTTCGAATAAAGCGGGGAGAGTTTCGAGAGAAGTAAATTTGAAATTTAAAAGTAAGAATGCAAACCTAGTAAACAATTCCTTAAAGAGTTTTTTTAGACAAACCAGATACAAATAACTTGTACCTATGGATAACGATCGTCGTTTTATGCATGTTAGCATTCCTATTTTGTATCGGTATGACGATAAAAATACGAAACGAGAAAAAACTTCAAAGAGAACTAAGAATAGCTGGTTTAGCAAATTTCGAGAAGGGGGCTATTGAAAGTTTAAACCCAGACCTGGCTATTGATGACCAAGCCGAACTTTTACCATACGACAAAAAATGGGAGTTTCCTATCGAAAAATTAAAATTAGGTTTGTGTTGAATACCTACGTCGAATATTGACTTAATGTAGGTGTTGAATTTAGGTAAACAGCTAGGTTCAGGAGCTTTCGGCGTAGTGATGAAGGGAGTAGCGAAAGGTATAGTAGACGGTGAAGAAAGTACCACGGTGGCTGTAAAAATGGTGAAAAAGAATGCTGATCATACGTACATTAAAGCGTTAGCTTCTGAATTGAAGATCATGGTACATTTGGGCAAACACTTAAACGTCGTTAATTTACTCGGGGCCTGTACCAAAAACGTTGCAAAAAGTGAGTACCGATTTTTGTTACTTCAGAAGTAACGATCTGTTTTTCAGGAGAACTACTCGTCATTGTAGAGTTTTGTCGTTTTGGAAATATTCAAAACTATCTGTTGCGCCACAGAGAAAATTTTATTGACCAAGTCGATCCGAAAACTTGCCACATTGACTACACTATTGGACAAGAAGAGTTAGAAAGAACATATTCCGTTTCTAGTAACAGAAGGTATGAAAAAACACTGTCTTGTCTTTACAAGTAAATCAAAGCTTGTTTTGTAGTAATTCTCAGTCGCCATATATGAAATACGCAGCACTTTCATTTTCACAAAATAGTGGCCCTCCAGTGGCCCACATGGTGGATTATAGAGGAAACAATTATAACGGTGCTACTGGCAAAACGGACATCACAATGGTTTCCATGTCACCAAGTTCAGGTAAACAGTTTGTTATTTGCTGTTCTTCTATTAAGCGCTTTGGATTTCTTTCTGTTTTTATGATATTTATCGCTTTTATTAATATTAATATTAGTATCATTACAATTTTGATTTACAACACATTTGTCTCTTAAGGTGACGACGAAGTTATTCTTAGCAACAACAGCAGCGTTCAACCAGAATGGCGTTCCAACTACCATGGGGACTACAAAGGAAACATTAAACCAATCTGTACCAAAGACCTCCTGGCTTGGGCTTTTCAAGTTTCCAGAGGAATGGAATATTTAGCTTCGCGCAGAGTCCTTCATGGTGATTTGGCGGCCAGAAATATTCTCCTAGCGGACCATAACGTGGTCAAAATTTGCGACTTTGGTCTGGCCAAAAGTATGTACAAAAGCGACAACTACAAGAAGAAGGGAGACGTAAGTGCTTTACACTTTGTGGTCTCTTTGTTACAAAAATTTTCCAAAGGGACCTCTACCCGTGAAGTGGATGGCAATCGAATCCATCCGGGATAAAGTCTTCTCGACCCAGTCAGACGTCTGGTCTTTCGGTATAGTCCTCTGGGAATTTTTCTCACTAGCGAGAACCCCTTACCCGGGAATGGAAGCCGACGAACGACTGTACAACAAACTCCTAGATGGCTACAGAATGGAGTCCCCTGAATATTCACCCAAAGAAATGTAAGTCAGTGAACGGTAACCGCCCCATCTAATTCTATTCCTTCAGCTACAAAATGATGTTAGACTGCTGGCACGCCAAACCCATCAACCGACCCTCTTTCAGTAAACTCTCGGAACGCATAGGATCTCTCCTGGAAGACACAGTCAGAAAACACTACATCGACTTGAACGACCCCTATTTGGTGATGAACACTCAGAGACTCGAAGAAGGTCACAGCGACTACCTCGCGATGTTGAGTCCTCCAAACTTCGAGAACCTTTCTTCTCCTCGTAACTACGTCAACGATTTGGCACCAAGCGACGACACTTCAGGCTACCTCAGCATGAACTCGGCTCACATCTTCAGTCCGAGAGCTGACGAAGACCGAGTTTTTAGTTTTGACGTTTCTGGTAAAACGAACAAAAGGTCGGAAGAAGGCACGGGAAATGAGCTTATTCCGATGTTGCGAATACAGAGCGAATCAGACGGTGACAGTTCGAGTTGCAACAGTCCCGTGGCGCCTAACAGTTTTTCGAATCCTTCTTATCATTTGCCGCCTATAGTGGAACGGGATCAAGTGATCTCGGATAAGGATATCGTGAAATCGTCGGATAATTATGTGAATATGCCGCAGAACAAAACTGTGTTGAGGGATAGTAATCCGTTTTTGAGCAAAGTGGAAAAGAACGGGAAAGACAATAATTATGTTAATAGTAACAGTAGGGACTGGGAGAGCGTGAAGTTATGAATAAATCAGAATATTCTCATTGAGGAGTTGCTGCGTCAAACAAATAAGTGTATTTAAAGTACAAAATATTAATATTATCGTGATATTTAACGTAAAACACGTTAGTATTAAAGTCACGTTTGTCATTAAATGTTGTGCCAAAGATTTTATAATGCTTCAAATCTTTAAAAAACCTATTAAATATTTTAGGTTTTACCGACCTATTTTGTATGTGTATACTAAGAATAAAAAGATAAACGCTTTAAGTATCTGGTTTTATTTTTGTTCTTAACCTCAACAAGAAAGGAAAAGTTACAGTATGATGCACAGTCAATGAGCCCACTAGTACAGGTCGAGGAAATACAGCAACAATTCGAGGATTCTAGAGTAATACGATGCACGGGTCAGGCATGTCAGGACATATGGTTAAATATCTCACGACATAAAAAAAACTGGTCGCAAGTTATTTCAACAGAACTTCCCTCGCTCCTGAAATACAATGAAATATATCCAGCATTTTCGAAAAATTATTAAATTTAATATGTTGTATTAATATAATCTTATATTTATTTTATATATATTTCTTTATATACCATGACGAATGTATGCAAAAATTTTTATAAAAGACGGATTTAATATCAATTGAGTACTGCCGAGTAACAGTTAATGATTGAATCAAATTTTTCGGTTGGCAGTTCTGAATTATTGGCAGCAATGTTAAATCACACTCGTCGAATTTGACATAAATTAAAGTGACCATTCGTCCCGGATTGCGCGGGACTGTCCCGTTTTTAGACATGCAATCCCGGATTATTAGCGTCCCGGAAAATGTCCCGCGTTTAAAGAAAAATGGATTTTTGAATTTTTTTTATATTTCTGTTTCTAAATTTTAAATTTCCGGTATTTTTTGCTGCTTTTCCAGAATTCCTCAAAAAGAAATGAAGCTGTCTCATTAAGTTTTTAGGTTCAGATTATAAATTTCCGGCAATTCTTGCTACTATTTATTGCCAAGAATTCCGTGAAAAACAATCAAGCCGTTTCGATCATATATCCCTACCCATTGTCTTCAACAGATGCGCATTTACTCTCTATACTTTTCTTGGATCTTCGTTCTCTTGTGTGGTTGTGTCACTATTAGAACTGCGAAACCGAACATTTTTTGAATTATAATTAATCGTGTCTTGCTTTTCCAATTCATATTTTTTGGTTCTTCAGAGGTGAGTGAAAGTTCTTTGATTTTCAAAAATCGTCACAATATATACTTGTACTTAGATTGACTTTAATAACCATCGATATGCTTCCAAAACTCGCTCCAAAACGAAAATGTAAATTCACGGAAGATTTGAAAAAAGAGTATCCGTTCTTAAAGAAATGTGCATTGGATACCAACGTATATTGTACGAAATGTTTAAGTGAATATTCAATAGCCTCTGGGGGCAGAAATGACATCACTCGCATTTCGAGACGACAAAACATAAAAATATGTTGGAAGCTGCTGCTTCTTCATCAACCATCGACAATTTTTTTTGAAAAACTGAATTTGGTTTAAAAGAACAAGAATTGGCTGCAGCAGAAGCATTTTCTTCATTCACATAGTGAAACATAATCAAAGCTTTCGATCCATGGATTGTACGACAAAACTTGTACAAAAAATATATGAAAAAAAGTTTACACGTAAAAGAACAAAGTGTGAAGCAATAATAAAAAAAGTTTTGGATCCATTGTGCAGAAATGAGTTAAACAATAAATTGTCACAGGTACACTCTATTTCAGTTTACTCAGATGCATCTAACCATCAAGCCATAAAATGTTTTCCTACTTTAGTAAGATTTTTTGATATAAAAAAAAAACTAAGTTATTAGACTTTGTGTCTTTGCCAGGAGATACCTCAGAGCTAATTTTTACATCGCTATTAGAAACTCTTGAGAAGGATAACTTAGCAAGTAAACTTGTAGGATTTTGTGCCGATAATGCAAACACTAATTTTGGTGGTTTAAAAAGGAAAGGCACTACTAACATTTTTGCGAAACTAGAAAAAAAATTCAAACGGAAAATAATTGGAGTTGGATGCGCAGCTCACATTATTCATAATGCAATTCAAACAGCCTGTGACCTATTGCCTGTAGATATTGAAAATATTATTGTGAATTTGTATAAGCATTTTACTATATTTACTTTGAGGGTTGAGTCATTAAAAGAGTTTTGTGAAGAAGCAGAAACTGAATATCAAAAACTGTTGGGTTATAGTAAAACAAGATGGTTAGCTATTTTGCCAGCGATAGAAAGAGTTTTAAAGCTGTTTGAACCTTTAAAATTGTTTTTTTTTATCATTGGAGAAATGTCCTCAAGTTCTAAAAACCTTTTTTGAGACTCCATCATCAGAACTGTGGTTAAAATGTATACACAACCAGGCCTCCTTATTTTCGTCTTCAATTATGTGTATTGAGGGCGATAACGTCACTGTTATGGAAGTGGCGGATGAAATTTACTCTTTAAAACGAAAACTGACAGAAAGGCAAAAGCATAAATTTCTTCCTTTAATTTTGAAAGACAATTTGCGGCAATTAGAAGAAAACGGTGAAACCAACCGAACTTGGTTTGAATCACATATTAATTTATTTTACGCTAATTGTTTTGAATATTTAAATCAATGGGCCGCTCATTTTGAACCCATAAGACATCTGGAATGGTCTCTTTTAAAAAAAGAAATTGTATGGTCCCAGGTTCAGGAAAGTTTTGCTGTTGTAACAAAAATGGTGGAAGGAATTAAGATTGACGAAAATCAATTATTTGATGAAGTCAGCTATGTTCAACATCTCGCAAGCCAGCAAAAAATTTGTGAATGGAATGAGGCCAGGACATCGTCAGATCTTAGATGGACAGAAATATTTAAGCATCACAAATCGGAAAATATTCCATTCGAAAATATATTGCAAATAATTGAATTTGCCTTTTGTTTGCCCGGAAGAAATGCCCCCACAGAACGAATATTTTCACTAATGAACAAAATATGGACCACAGAGAAGACCCAATTAACAGTTGATTCCTTAAAATCAATTCTTATTGTGAAATATAATATGAATGGCACATGCGAAGAGTTATATGATCGCATTCGTTCAAATGTCGAGGTGTTAAAACAACAGGATGTAACAACATTTTGGTCAAAACTTTGGTCTCAAGAATTTGAATTTAACCAATCTGCCAAATGGATTCCTCATATATCCCATAAACTATTATTATTATTATTATTATTATGGTTGACCACCCCTACAGATAAACCAATTATTAGGGTGGTATATTAGGGCTAAATTAGATTGTTGGAAATGCATAATTAAATAGTTAAAAATTAGTACACTGTTATAGATGGGCATTTTTGATCTGGCGTAAACTACAATTGAAAATATCAAATTTATTCCGATAATTATTATAAATTCTGCACATAGTTGTAATGGGCGAGAATACATGTACATTAGTTCTAGAAATTTCAGTATAAAAACATAAAGGGTTTCTAATGTTTGACCGGGGAACTAGAGAGCACAATTTTTCAACTAAAGCATTTGAATTTAGAACACCATTCATCAATTTAAAAAGAAAACAGAGAGACAAAGTTTCTCTCCTCTTTTCCAAGCTTTGAATGGAAAAGAGTACCAAAAGCTCATTTTGAGGAAAACCTCTACAAGGGTAATAGCCAAATGATTTGAAATGGAGGAATTTTAAAAATTTCCTTTGTAACTTTTCTAATTTGAGACAATGAACATCATACCCTGGGGACCAAATAACACAGCCATACTCTAGTTTTGATCTAACAAACGAAGTATATAAACTAAGGAGAGTACTTTTAAGTTGAAAGCTTTTGCAATTACAAATGATAAATCCTAACGCCCTAATTGATGAGGAAAATATCTCATCATAATGATCAATGAAGGATAATTTTTGATCAAATATAATGCCTAAATCTCTCACAGTGGAAACACGTTTCAAAATGAAGCCGCCAATTTTATACTCATATATACTATTGATATGCTTTAGAGAAGATGTCATTACACTACATTTAGGAAGATTCAGCGACAACCCTTTTACATTGCATGCTTGTTCTAATTTATAAAGATCAGCTTGAAGGAGAAGGTGGTCAGAAAATGTTGTTATTTTTCTAAAGATTTTTAGGTCGTCAGCATATAGAAGACACTCAGAGCTAAAGCCGATACATATGTCATTAATAAACAAAATAAAGAACAGAGGTCCAAGAATGGACCCTTGCGGTACACCAGAAGTAACATGTACCTCAGTTGACTGAAAACCGCCAATGGTAACAACCTGCGTCCTGCCAATTAAATAAGAACTAAAAAGTTTAATTAGGAAATCTGACATACCAAAACTATCCAACTTGGCAATCAATTTAGAGTGGTCTAATCTGTCAAATGCTTTAGAGAAATCAGTGTATATACAATCCACCGAACATTTAGCATCAAAAGACTCGGAAACAAACTGAGTAAACATACAAAGATTTGTTTCTACAGATCTGCCATTGAGAAAACCATGCTGTAAATCAGATATATAAGGCCTAACATGCCCGATAATAACATCATAAAGCAACATTTCGAATACCTTGGAAAAATTGCAGAGCAAGGTTATGGGTCGATAATTTTCGATTACATTTTTGTTTCCATTTTTGAAAACTGGACATATATTCGACTGTTTCCAAATGGACGGGTACTCACACTGTTTAATTGCTAGACTGAATATAGCACATAAGGGAGAAGCAAATACAGTTGCACAGTCGCTTAACATGAAAGAGGGAATGCCGTCAGGACCAGCTGTTGTTATGTTTTTCATCTTCCGTAGGGCATTAAATACTTCAGATTCATTAAACGATTTGATTAACAAAAGAGGACAATTTGAAGAAGACCTAGTTACAGATGGATTAGAAAGAATAAAAGATTTTTGAAAAAAGTCAGCAAAAGAGTTGACGATGTCTTCCGGTCGACTTAGCAGTTCATTGTTATAGGTCATCAGTTTAGGTATACTATTGTCTTTTTTCTTACTATGAATAAAGCGCCAAAAGCTGCTAGGATCAGATTGAATGTTGTTTTCAATTTTTTTAATATAATTGGCATAGGCATGTTGAATATCTGCTTTGACCTCAGTTCTTAGGATTTTAAAATTATCATAAGATTGCAAATCAGAATGTCGTTTGTAACGTGTCCATAATTTCCATTTTAGTTTTAGTTTAGAAATTATTTTAGCATCAAACCATGAAGGATATTGA